ATTTTTTTAATTTTTCGCCCAAAAAAAAAAACGTAAGGGGTACCACTGTCGTTTTTTTTTTCGGGCCGAATTTTGAGTTTCGATATCTCAGCTCTGGAAGGGGCTAGAGCCTCCATTTTTGCACTCAGGTCTAAGTCTCATGGCCCTCTATCAGAATCCAGAGTTTTGGGAAGATTGGAGAAACTTAATTTTTCGCCCAAAAAAAAAACGTAAGGGGTACCACTGTCGTTTTTTTTTTCGGGCCGAATTTTTGAGTTTCGATATCTCAGCTCTGGAAGGGGCTAGAGCCTCCATTTTTGCACTCAGGTCTAAGTCTCATGGCCCTCTATCAGAATCAGAGTTTTGGGAAGATTGGAGAAACTTAATTTTTCGCCCCAAAAAAAAAAACGTAAGGGGTACCACTGTCGTTTTTTTTTTCGGGCCGAATTTTTGAGTTTCGATATCTCAGCTCTGGAAGGGGCTAGAGCCTCCATTTTTGCACTCAGGTCTAAGTCTCATGGCCCTCTATCAGAATCCAGAGTTTTGGGAAGATTGGAGAAACTTAATTTTTCGCCCAAAAAAAAAAACGTAAGGGGTACCACTGTCGTTTTTTTTTCGGGCCGAATTTTTGAGTTTCGATATCTCAGCTCTGGAAGGGGCTAGAGCCTCCATTTTTGCACTCAGGTCTAAGTCTCATGGCCCTCTATCAGAATCCAGAGTTTTGGAAGATTGGAGAAACTTAATTTTTCGCCCAAAAAAAAAAAACGTAAGGGGTACCACTGTCGTTTTTTTTTTCGGGCCGAATTTTTGAGTTTCGATATCTCAGCTCTGGAAGGGGCTAGAGCCTCCATTTTTGCACTCAGGTCTAAGTCTCATGGCCCTCTATCAGAATCCAGAGTTTTGGGAAGATTGGAGAAACTTAATTTTTCGCCCAAAAAAAAAAACGTAAGGGGTACCACTGTCGTTTTTTTTTTCGGGCGAATTTTTGAGTTTCGATATCTCAGCTCTGGAAGGGGCTAGAGCCTCCATTTTTGCACTCAGGTCTAAGTCTCATGGCCCTCTATCAGAATCCAGAGTTTTGGGAAGATTGGAGAAACTTAATTTTTCGCCCAAAAAAAAAAAACGTAAGGGGTACCACTGTCGTTTTTTTTTCGGGCCGAATTTTTGAGTTTCGATATCTCAGCTCTGGAAGGGGCTAGAGCCTCCATTTTTGCACTCAGGTCTAAGTCTCATGGCCCTCTATCAGAATCCAGAGTTTTGGGAAGATTGGAGAAACTTAATTTTTCGCCCAAAAAAAAAAACGTAAGGGGTACCACTGTCGTTTTTTTTTTCGGGCCGAATTTTTGAGTTTCGATATCTCAGCTCTGGAAGGGGCTAGAGCCTCCATTTTTGCACTCAGGTCTAAGTCTCATGGCCCTCTATCAGAATCCAGAGTTTTGGGAAGATTGGAGAAACTTAATTTTTCGCCCAAAAAAAAAAAACGTAAGGGGTACCACTGTCGTTTTTTTTTCGGGCCGAATTTTTGAGTTTCGATATCTCAGCTCTGGAAGGGGCTAGAGCCTCCATTTTTGCACT